TGAAAACTCCTCCCCCTGTGGTGCAGGAGGCTGGCTAGGCCACACCCACTATGGCCACGGCCACCCAGCAACCAGGCAGAGAATCCGTTGCTGAAAAGTTTGAAGCCCACCCCTGGTCTGGTCTCCCTAGTAAGGCTAGCGATCAGAAAGCTGGACCTTCTCTTTTAATTTGACTCTGTGGCCCGTGATTGTTGTTGTTACCTGCAAGATCTGGCCCAAAAGGAAGCTGGCTCTGGAGAGACGAGGGCTGGTTTTGGATTCACTGGGAGATGCAGCTTCGTCTGGTTGCAGCGTAGTCTAAGAGTGCAGCAACAGAGAGAAGGAAGAAAGAAGAAGAAGGAAGAGGAGAAGGAGAAGGAGAAGAAGAACAAGAACAAGAACAAGAAAAAAGAGGAGGAACAGAAGGAGGAGGAGGAAGAAGAGGAAGAGGAAGAAAAAGGAGAAGGAGAAGAAGAAGAACAACAACAAGAAAAGGAACAAAAAAAGAGGAGGAACAGAAGGAGGAGGAGGAAGAGGAGGAAGAGGAAGAAGAAGAAGGAGAAGAAGAAGAAGAACAAGAACAAGAACAAGAACAAGAAAAAAGAGGAGGAACAGAAGGAGGAGGAGGAAGAAGAGGAAGAGGAAGAAAAAGGAGAAGGAGAACAACAACAACAACAACAAGAGGAACAAAAAAAAGAGGAGGAACAGAAGGAGGAGGAGGAAGAGGAGGAAGAGGAAGAGGAAGAAAAAGAAGAACAAGAACAAGAAAAAAGAGGAGGAACAGAAGGAGGAGGAGGAAGAAGAGGAAGAAGAAGAAGAAGAAGGAGAAGAAGAACAAGAACAACAACAAGAAGAAGAACAAGAACAAGAAAAAAAGAGGAGGAACAGAAGGAGGAGGAGGAAGAAGAGGAAGAGGAAGAGGAAGAAGAACAAGAACAAGAAGAAATAATAATAATAATAACGTAGGGCAGAATCCCATAAAGCCAAAACAAATTTATGGGATGTAGAAGCAGGAATGTTGAGAAGAGAGGCCCACCATGCTTGGAGTCCCTCAAGATAGGGAAGGTTGACTTGACGACAGCAAAGTCAACCACCCATAATGGATGTAGACCGAGCACCTCTTCTAGAATGGATGGGAATTACCCAAGAGGCAAAACTGCCTAAAACTGCTCACAAAGGGATGGAGGAGGGATGGGTGAAGAGGAGAATCATCCCAAGCCAAAGGAGAACTTACTCGTGATAGCCCATGGACACTGTCTATATCTTCTTTGCTTCCTTTGTTCATGAGTCGCTGGAGTTTTACTAGGAGAAGCTGCTGGGCTCTGCAAAGAAGAGTTGGGAAGGATCAGAGGTGGTGCTAAGGAAGGCTTCCAGCCTGACCAATCCTTAGCCGGGCCCTTTTTTTTGCTCCCGTGGGATGGCCAAGCAATTTGGACCAAGCTCCATTGAAGCCAAGAAGCCCTTGGCCATCTACAATGTCATGGGATGGACAATATTTGACCCGAATTTGAACTCTTGGAGTACCTTAAGAAGCATGTAAGAAGAACCTCATTGCTACAGAGGTACTGTATCCCCAGGTAGGTCCAAAAACTGAAACTCCCCTTTTTCTATGTGGGTCACATCTCCTGCACAAGGCTTGGCTTCAGCCTCATCTCGTTGGCATCTGAAGAATGCCCCAGGGGCATGAGACAGACTTGCCACACAGAGGATGATGCTTGAGCTTTTAGCACCCCAGATTCCCATGATATTTCATCATGGATGCTACCAGTATCTTGAGTTTTGAGCCTGTATCCAGAGGTGGTATTTAGCTGGTTCGGACCGGTTCTATCGAACCAGTAGTGGAAATTTTGAGTGGTTCAGAGAACCAGCAAATGCCACCTCTGGCTAGCCCTGCCCTCCCCCCCGTCATTCCCTGCCCTATATTACCTTGTTTTTTTTAGCTTAGCTGATGGCAAAGTGGAATCGTGTGGCAGTTTAAAATAGCAATAGCAGTTAGACTTATATACCGCTTCATAGGGCTTTCAGCCCTCTCTAAGCGGTTTACAGAGTCAGCATATTGCCCCCACAGTCAACCCTGAGCCGGTGAGATTTGAACCGCTGAACTGCAGATAACAGTCAGCTGAAGTGGCCTGCAGTACTGCACCCTAACCACTGCGCCATCTCAACTCACTACCGCTGATACCGAGGGTGCTCTTTGAGTACTGCACCCACAATGCTCTCCCATAGAACCAGTAGAAAAGGATTTGAAATCCCACCACTGCCCGTATCCCATTTGCATCCCCTGCTCCAGTGGTGACATTTAAGTTTTTTTACTACCAGTTCTGTGGGCATGGCTTGGTGGGCATGGCTTGGTGGGCGTGGCTTGGTGGGCACAGCAGGGGAAGAATACTTCAAAATCTCCATTCTCACTCCACTCTGCGGCCAGCCAGAGGTGGCATTTGAATTGTTCTCCGAACAACTTAAAATTTCTGCTACCGGTTCTCTGAACAACTCAAAATTTCTGCTACTGGTTCTCCAAACAACTCAAAATTTCTGCTACTGGTTCTCCAAACAACTCAAAATTTCTGCTACCAGTTCTCCAAACAACTCAAAATTTCTGCTACTGGTTCTCTGAACAACTTAAAATTTCTGCTACTGGTTCTCCAAACAACTCAAAATTTCTGCTACTGGTTCTCCAAACAACTCAAAATTTCTGCTACTGGTTCTCTGAACAACTTAAAATTTCTGCTACTGGTTCTCCAAACAACTCAAAATTTCTGCTACTGGTTCTCCAAACAACTCAAAATTTCTGCTACTGGTTCTCCAAACAAC